TTCCGGGTGTTCGAGGAGTTACGGGACACCCTGTATATACCAATTTCACGAATAATGTCTCTATAAACATCTCTACGTGCACGAAACATATAATCTTTATTCCTTACAAATTGACATTAAATTCCTAATCGTAAACCAATTAGAGATCACATAACGTAATATTTTCAAACGAGAAAGAGGAATTCACCATGATACGTGTATTATAAACGAAACATTGCCGCACCACGTAGAATTCAATCTATATACCAATTTCACGAATAATGTCTCTATAAACATCTCTACGTGCACGAAACATATAATCTTTATTGTTTATAAATTGACATTAAATTTAATTTACCTAGAATCCATCATTGGTCGAAATTATTAAACACATGTACAGCATTATAAATTGCAAAATTTCACGTTCAAATACGATATTACGAAATTTTTCATAAAATTTGGAATTTAGCAGAAATATCAAAGTTTGCAAGATATGCACATTTGTTTTCCACATTTTTTGTAACTTTTGCAAGTCGTCACGTGGCGCATCTAAGTTACGCGAACAATAGTCAAGACGCAGACACGTTTTAGACAACGATGTCTCGTGTCCACTTTCTAACACCATTCCTTGTTCCTGAAAAATATTCTGCGAATCAGAGGACTGTGTTAGGCGAGGGAGAAGTACGAAAAAGAGTGCTGGAAAAAGTATATTGTTCTCAATCGTTGTTTCAAGCGTTTCACAAAAATAAATAGCTGTACAGGTATTTCCCGCCTTTATTTAATTAATTGGTTTCTGGTGACCATTCGTAAATCTGGGATTCGCAAAGCGGGAAGCTCGTTCTAACTGATCATTATGTCATTGCGCAATTTGCACATCGTTTAATTACGTTTAAAAGCGTGCCAAAATAAAAAATTACATTTACCGTACAATTTAAAACCGAAATTTCGATCCGAAAAATTCGCAAATTGGGAACCACGTGTACCTACTGTGGGATTTACTTGGAGTTGTGATTGGGGTTCAGAAAAGCGTATTTAAAATAATAATAACATTTTATTGACGAAATATAAAGCCATTTAATTTTTATTGTAAACATTTTTTTATATCTACTATAGTTTTAAAGATATACAGGGAAATAAGGTAACACTTATCTTCATTCAAGGGCTGTTTTCACCCCAAAGAACCGAAATTGGGCCAAAAAAAATTGCCCGATACTTCTGTTGAGATCCCCTACAAACCCACAAAGTTTCAAAAAAATCGGACATTTCGGGTCACTGAGGTTCCCTTGTAAGTTAATTAGAAACGCTTAATTATTCTACGTGTTCCACTCAAGGTCTCCTTTCTTCCAAATTTTACACTTTTCCTCGAGTCTCTTACACTTTTCGCAAAATTTCAATAGTTACCTTTAAATATGCCAGGATTACGTTCCAGCTGATCATTACGTCATTACATACTGTGTCATTCACCACACAATTTAAAATAAAAATTTTCATCAAAAAATTCGTAAATTGAAAACTACCTGTATTTAATTTTCAAAGAATTACCTTACCTTCATTTCCGAGTCTCTTACACTTTTCGCAAAATTTCAATAATTACCTTTAAATATGCCAGGATTACGTTCCAGCTGATCATTACGTCGTTACATACTGCCCGATCCCCCGTACAATTTAAAATAAAAATTTCTATCCAAAAAAAACCTGTACCTAATTACCAAAGAATTATCTTGCCTCGATTTCCTAGTCTCTTACACATCTCGTAAAATTTCAATAGTTACCTTTAAACGTGTCAAGGTCGTTCGCACCACCCTGTACAAACAATCAAAAACCGATTATCCGACACAATCTATCATTTCACCGAACAATTCACTTTATGTTTACAGAGAAAATGAGCATTCTGACAGGTAGCTTATCCATCATAAACGATTCACCTTCGTTATTTCGGTGACAATCGGCAACGATTCACATGGAAATTGGATTCGCTTGAGGTTTCACTATGGTCATTCGCCTTATCCTCGTTTGAATCATACACGGCGATCTCGTACTCGCAATATCGATTCCACGTTATCACGTTTACCTCCCGCTATCACGTTTCCTACGATAAACCTTTCGCATCTTTTGTAACGAGCATTCGCCAGAATGGAGGTCGGGATTTTTGATCGGTTATTACGCGAGAACAGGATTACACGTGTAATCTCTGTGTTCAGTCGGTCTGGTAATTACCACAGGAAGGACGTGTAATTCAGAGTAGAACAGATAGTTCAGGTTATCGTCGCGAGACTATTGTCTGATATCCCGTAAATTCTACTTATACAGTGGTACAATTGTTCTCGGAGTGTGTCATTTTTTAGTGACATTTCTCGTCTAAACTTTTTAATTTGAACCACTCAGGAGCCACTTCTCTTTATGAAAAATTAAGCACCAAGTATGTGCTTTGATACTAAAATTGGAAGAAAATTAAAAAGTGGAGTTAATCACTTTCTTCTTTAATCACTTCATCATTTCTTTCTTAACATGATTTTTAAAATTTTTGGATGACTGAAAATACGATTGTTGTATCGTGTGTCAATTAAAGATCAGAGTTTCTTGACCAGTAGGAAAAATTGACATGAAGTTTGAATGGAACGATACTAAAATTTCGACAATTGCGAAATATTGCAGTATCGGGGCCTCCGTACCCAAATAGGAAACCTCGAAGGGAGAATAGAGAGGGAGTGGTTGGCGTAGCGCGCAAAGCCTCGGCCTGCTAAGCCGAAGGTCCTGGGTTCGATTCCCGTTGGGTCCCTCAATATTTTTCCGTCGATTCCTACAATGTATGCTGTTTGACATTGATAGTGACAACTCAAAAAATGTAAATTTTACAGAAAAGGCAGTTTAAAATTTGCATTTGACTAATAATTGAAAACTGATCGTATAATCTGATCTGCTCTCTATTACGAAACCAAAGAAGTTAGAAATGTACCGATATAGATGATAAAAATACTGTATCTATAAAATCTATCTATGCAAAAAATTCAATATCGACATTTTCCGATAAGCCATATGATAACTAAGTGAAAATATTTTAATCTCTTCACAGTTCAATTTTCAGAGTAATTACATTTCTCCGAACCTTCGCCATCAATTTCAAAACCTTTCACTGGAAAAGTATCATTTCATCGAACAACGTTCAAATTCGATACAAGCCCCATTCAAATCCAACATCACAGTCAAAACTTTCCCGATCGTATATACCTATACACAATTCCAGGCCATCGCTATTCCCGAGGCGACGGACCACTCCTCGAATACATTTCCTTCTCCACGGAAAAAGGCCTCTTATTGTCAGTGATTACGACTTTTTAACGGGGACTTCTACCCTCCTCGTCTTATCTACGCGTATTCCCCGTTTCCTTTGCTCTTCTAGCTGCTCGTGGCAGCCTTCAACGTCGCTTTCGAACGTTTCCACGGTTGTAACTGGTTTCTACAGAACGATCCCGTCTTCAACCCCTTTTGCAACCTTGTCGAACCGAGGCTTCTTTCCTTTACCTTTTTTTCTCCTTCCATCTTCTTTCTTTTCTTTCTTCAACTTTGAATTTGATTTGCATGTGAAAGAATGGCATTCAGGTCGTCTCGTGTTCACCCGTTAGGCAGGTCGGTTCCTTGAGGCGTTTTCGACCTCGGTCCACTCCAGGCCGGCCCTGTGTCATGCAAATTTTATTATTGTGACCGCTGTCGGGTCCGACCGATGCGCTCGTCCTTTTGACGTTGCTCTTCTGCGCTCGATTGCCGCCTCGTTGATCGCGATTGAAGTGACGTTGCTCAGATAGATTGTGCTTGGACACTTTCTGCTTGGTAAAGGGAGAATAGATTATTTGATTTGTATCTGAGGTTGCAGCGAATAGCGGAGGAGAGATGCCGGTTGGTTAAATCGTTGACGGAAATTTTGATTAGCCTGCGAGGGTCTGGCTTTGCGAGGTGTTCCGACGTAGTTTATCAAACTATCAAGGGAACGTCCTCGAGTGATAATCACAGGTTTTGATCAAACTTTGGTGTATGGTAGTTCACGTATTTTTTTTTTTAGGAAAAAATCGTTCCCAACGAAGGGGTGAAAATTGCCCTCAAAGTTGGAGAGAGTAAATATATTTAGCCTAATATCTCCAAAATGATTGAAGATAGAGGAATAATGTAAATTAAGGAATTTTGTGTTTTGCCATAACGAATCTGAAAAATAGAAAATAAAAAATTATATTAGGTTATCCCATAAATTCGTGTCGAACTTTATAATTTAGATTAATATTTCCAAGGAACATTTAAATTTTATGAAGAAAACGTAGACGCCTTTTCATTCCATAACCTTTTTCTATTTTCTTTTTTTTTTGGTAAGACTATTATGTTGTCACTCTAATATTTCCTTGGATTTCCATCGAAACATTTTTCGAAATCACCTAAATTTATCCTAATATTATAATATTGTAACCTTATTCGTTACGAGGGGTGGTGGGCTGACCGAAATAATTCTCACTAGAGTACAGTTTACGCGAAATCGACGTAGCACGGCGCTCAGGTGAACGGAAAACGGACGGACCCAGGGTTGCCTCGTGGTCCGTAGATGTCCACCCATGGAGCAAGGTCGGAGCCTAGGCAAGGGTCGCTGTCCTTGGATGTCCACTCGAGGGAGCGTCTTGAGAGCAGCGAACCGTGTTGTCCATAAAACTATGGGCCCGTCCTCTTTATATCTTTGCGGGGGGTTGCCTGGGCCAGCGCGAGTCGTGGAGTGGGGGAGTCGACCGCGCATGCGCCCAAGGGTGGAATTGGTAGTGGGGATGCGGACAAGGGCGCCAGTCTGGTGGCCGCCCGGGGCACTACCTTCCTTACGCAGTGCGCTACAATATTAAATTTAGCCTAATACCAGGAAAATGATCAAATACAGAGGAATAGCGTAAATTAACGAATTTTATGTTTCCCAACGGCAAACTTGAATAATAATTTTGTACTTTTCGTTATACCGGAACAAAGATTATATGCAAACACCTTTTTGTTTGCAGTGCCTCCGAACATAGAGGACTACCAGACCTCGTCAGACGCGATTGTACGAGAGGGCGCGAACGTGAGTCTAACGTGCAAAGCGACCGGAAGTCCCAAGCCAAACATAACCTGGAAAAGAGACGACGGCTCGAAGATCTCAATTAACAAAACGCTCTCTGGTGAGTACCACACTACTGCATTATCACGAATAACACATATTATCATGATGTTACAACTTGATGAAATAATATCCTGATATTGTTACAACGTTCAAACTAGATTCCCTCTAATAATTCGACATTACAACCTCACAGTTCTATTACCCGATAATACAATTCGACGATCATTTCAATTTGTCACGCGTTATTGCAATCCGCACTTTTTTTGTTTTTGCCCCCTTTTTGTTTATTTCTCCGTCTGTCTGTCCACGGTCCACAGCAGCGTGGAGGGTGATTTTTAATTGCTCCACAAATATCAGCTTTATTTCTTGATTTCTGTTCGAATCAACGAATACACTGTTTGGTACATTTTTAAAACGTAGCGTCACATTACTCGCATGATAGAAAACAATGTATTTTTACCGCTTACTACGAATATGACTGGTTTATATCGTATATAGGTTAAAATTCACCCGAGGTAAAAGTTCAACGAATTTCAATGTGTGAAGTTTTTATTGTTTTGCACGATATACGTCTGTGTAACATTCTTTTTTCGCTTCGACCGTTAAATTTAAGGTAAAGGTACCAGTAGTTGACCAGTTCTTAGAAAAACGTAAAAAATAAGGTTTTTATAAGTGATTCTCTTTTGAAAAAAATGCACCTGACGTGCCAAGACATCTATCGATTAAATTTCAAAAAAATTACATGTGAAATGAAGTATGCGAAGTAACAACGGACGTCCAAATTCGTTAAGGTAAGTAATATGCCTCTATATTGCTATTTCCTTAACGTTTCTGTTAAGAACAGCTGTACGGTTCAGGTGAACAAATCCATACGTTGCGAACTCTTCGTGACTGAATTATTTACTTATTAAATTCTCACAGTGTTTTCTAAGTGATAAATGCAACGTTTTTGTTATTCTAACCACAAAAAGCAATAGTTTATTGGGGGGTCAAATTCTGAATCTTGTTATTCTAAGTTTTTAGAAGTTGACCGGGGTGGTAAATTACCGACGTGAGTTATTTAAATTTGTTTACGATTTATAATGTATCCATTTTGTATTTAACTTTATTAGAAGTACAAAATATAGTTCTAAATTTTGTAGCATACTGCGTTTTAGTGGATGACCGCATGGTCAACTATTGACTGATCCACGGTCAATTATTGACTCCGTCCAGTGTCCACTTTTTTAAAATAACCATGTGCGTGATATTATAAACACCACCGGAAAATTAAAATCCATTTACTTAATTATTTTTTTTTTTTTATTTTTATTTCATCCATGGAAATGTACGGGCGATTGTGGAAGTGGCCAGAGAAGCCTGATGTGCTGGACTACGAGTGGAAGGCTGTAGTTTCTCATATCAATGAGCCCACGAAATCGAGCAGAACTCGCAACGTCTACTCTGTTCCCGAATTGAACTTGTTATGGAATTGAATTGTTTTATTTCTACTTTCCATTCTAATTATAACTTGTGCTGGTAATTGTTGAAAATAAACGATACTAAAATGATTGCCAACATTATTGCTTTAACCCTCCTTCTAGTATAAGTGGTCAACTACTAACGAACAGAGGATCAGTTACTAGTGTTTTCATTTTTAAGAGTGGTCAACTTCTGAAGTAATAACTGAATTTTTAAATATGTATTTAAAATTTTTATAACATAACTTTTTTAAAAAATTGGTCTTGTTACATCATCTAGAAGGCTTAAAGAGTATCTTCAGGCATCGACTCTCGCTATTTAATCACAGAGCAAGTGGTTACTATTGTTCATGTGAAGGATTTCTCTTAACTGGTCAACTACTGGTACCTTTACCTTACCTCCGAAACACCTTGCACGCCGATCAAATTCATACGTTTATCAGCTACGTGAAAGTATGTCTGCTCCGGATATATTTTTACTCTATCAAAATTTGCATGTATCATAGTCAGAACTACGTGAAAAATAGATACGGCCGATTCGATGTACGAAACATCCATCACTGATAACAATTTATCGATGAACTAACTACGCCGTTCATGAGTATTAGGACACCCGGTGTTAAGGCGTGTCCTGTAGCCGGATTTATGGCAGGCAAATATCGTTTCCTCAAAACACCACAAGTGTTTACTGCGTTGCCTGCGACACTTAGTCCCTAAGACCAGACCCAGAAAAATAGAAAAGTGACGACTTTTGCCAACGTCGATGAGCCACTTGACTTTAACAAAGTGTGGGATCAATTCGTTAAGAAAAAAGTATACTCTCTGTCGCGTAGCCAGTTCGGCGCGCTACCTTCAACTGCCTTCTTGTCCCGGGCCCGGGGCCCGCGTGCCTCTTCTACGCTTCGCTTTTCGCTCATGCCGCGCCGGTACGCACCACACACGCTCTCACACGTGTCGGACCCGGTCGCCGGCGGATCGGTCACCACAGAAGTCTAGAAAAGCGGAAATTCCACAGGATTCGCGAAGGGCGATGCACCGGAGTAAACTGATTGGTGATTTTAGAAAAGGAAAAATCACCAATCAGGGTGTTTTTAGAAAAGTGGGAGTCTTCGTCGAGGGAAACCGCGGAGACACCGGCAGAAAGACTTTGCACCTCGCAGAGTAGACCCTAGACCTCGAATTAGTTTAGAACATAGAACACAAAATCAATCAAGAAACCGGTCCTTCGTAGCCTTAGACCATTAGTCGGCATACAGGTGCAAAAATCGGCAATGCTTGAACGATCGAAAGATCAACCGCAAGCCCTAACACCCGGCATGTTCGTGGAGAAAGTTGATTTATTCATTTTTATCATATTTATTTAAACCGTGCATATTTATTTATTTATGCAGGATTTAAATTACATTTTTTTTCGTTGAAGTTAGGGTCATACATTGGCGAAAATATATAAATGCACTCGTTATTATACTGAGAGAGTATAGAATGAATATTCTTTTTCGGGATATTAATAATTTTGTAATGACTTTTGTGTGTCAAATAATTTTATGTTAAACTTGAAATGGTAGCGAGGTTCGCTTCACATTCAACAAGTAGCTTTTAGTGGGTTTCAGTAGACGTATGCAGAATTCGGTAGATTTCAATAGATTTTGGTGGAATTCAGAACATTTCAATAGATTTTAGTAAATTTCCACAGGTGTCAAAAGATTTCAATTTATTCATTTTTTTATTTATTATATTAGTAGAATACAGCAAATTTTAGTACATTTTAGTAAATTTCAGCAGATTTCAATAAATTTCCGTAGATTACAAAAGATTTCAATTTATTCATTTTTTTATTTATTATATTAGTAGAATACAGCAAATTTTAGTACATTTTAGTAAATTTCAATAGATTTTAATAAATTTCCAATTTTCAAGAAATTTCAATTTATTCATTTATTTATTTATTATATTAGTAGAATACAGAAAATTTTAGTACAATTTAGTAAATTTCAATAGATTTTAATAAATTTCCACAGGTTTCAAAACATTTCAATTTATTCACTTATTTATTTATTTTTAATTTACTTATTATATTCATAGAATACAGCAGATTAGAGTACAATTTAGTAAATTTTAGCAAATCTCAATAGATTTCCGTAGGTTTCAAAAGATTTCAATTGACATTAGTCGAATACAGTGGAATTTATTACATTTTTGTACATTTCAGCAGAATGCAGTAGATTCCCCCAAATTTCAAAATGCTTCACACTCGCTAAGTGCCCCAATACATACGAACAGAAGTGTACACCTCTTGAACCTATTTCCACATTTCAATGAAACTGTCGTTTAGATGATTATTCAAAAATACAGTAAAACGTATTGAAAAATAATAAAACTATATCTGATACTATGAAACAGTGTATGGCTTTTTCAATTAATACAGACGATTCACGAAATAAACACTTTTATGGGATTTAAAAAATTACAGTAAACATTCAAATATTAAAAAAATTAATGTAAAAGAGAAATATACCAGCATATGAAAATGATTAAGGATGTGTAAAGGTTAATGCAACGAAATATTGGAACAATGAAGACGCAAACACAAAGTATCGAATTTTAATATGTAACATTAGGATTAATGTTACCAAATATAACACAAATATACCACGATACAACCAATATTGATCAATATATACCATAAAGTTGAAACCGGCCAGTCGGAAGAATGGTAGCCTCAATTTCGAAATCAGATGCGCTATGGAGAACAGAGTCGGTAAAATAAAGTTCGAAGATAAATTCAAGCTCCGGTTATTGTCTCAAGTGGAAAAAGTATGTGGCATGTGGCACATTCCAGTCGCGGCTATCTCTCCAGGAGAGATCTCAGGGCATTATCCCTCTCATAATTTCGCAGGCAGCTTACACGAACTTAACTCTTCGCCGGTTCCGTACGTCTACGCGTTTTTCCCTCGACCTCGTAGCTATTTCCGTGCTTGCCAGCCTGCCCCCTCGTAAACTTAACATAAGGGTTGAGCCTTAGTGCGGTCTCCCCTCTCTTTAGTATTTTCATTCTTTTTGTGGCCTGGTTACCTCTTGCTTCGCGCACTGTTCAGCTCACATCAAAGCTCATACTTTCCGCTTGTTACACGAAATTATACGAGAACTCACGTGTAATTCCTCTTTCGACGAACCCTTTGGAAATACGTATTCCACGGCTTTATTGCGTTTCACGGTCCCTGTTCGACCGTATTGTACACGATCGACCTTTGGCACTTTTCAAAACCAGCCTGTTACTCCGCGGTGGATATTCGGAAAACGGTAAGAATGAAGCTGAGAAATGAAGTTCTTTGTGGCCGGAAGAAGTCAAGAAGGTCCTTCTGTTTCTGTGTTTAATGAACCGATCAAAAAGCGAAACGCAATTTATCATCCTTTGTTAGCAGTAAGCTGGGGATGAGCATTAACTTCAAGGAGCAAGCCAAAAAAGACTGAGTTACTATTGCGCGCATGAGGTACTGGTGTGACGCTACTTGTTTTTGTACAAACAGAGACGGAATAAAAACGGGCTTCTGCATAACTTCCCTTTGTTCACTGTGTAATTTCTCTTTCCTTTCTACACTTCCTTTGAATAGTGTGTGAAGTTACATTTTTTTCTCGTCCGGTTGTAAAAATGCAAAAGATCCACTTTCGCACTCATCGCTAAAGGGATTAACTGGAGAAGCGTTATTTTTTACAAGTTCTCTTCTCGTCTAGGCTCCTATTCCCGTAAATACGGACTTCTGACCTGACTAATCACCGCACTCAAAGCATAGGTCTTCTAGATAACCTCACCGATGAGTCCAGTAAAGTACGTTCAGGACGAAACGCATTTTCCTTTCCAACTATATGTTTCTCTGTCGTTCTACTTCTCTCGTTCCTTCCACTTATCCAACTGTCGCTCGTCCAATTGATGATCAACCAGCGATTCATTTTAGCTTCTGCGTGGCTCAAATACAAATAGTATACTCAGTATTAAATGGACCGTTTATTTTGAAAGTGGTGTAAGTCCATTTTTGAAAAAAATGAGATATCACGTAATTCATGCTTAATTTAATGTAAATTTTTTATGTATAACTAGTCCGTGTTTAATTTCTTAAAAAATTTCCATGAAACGAGAGAATTTCGTTTCAATAAAAAAATCTTCAAAATGCAATTAAAAAACAGATAAGAAAAAACACTAATGGAGAACAGGTAAATTGGTTGCAAATATGTTGGATGAGGTTTCTCCAAAGGTGCACCATACACTATTTTATATAAAACATCGATGAAGGACAAAGAATTTAAAACTATAAATTTATTACCTACACGTCCTGGAAGACCGGTAAAATTTCAAAAAATCGCCCCGGCGCCATTGTACCAAGATGCCAGGCCTATTACTTATGAAATATATAAAGACATCAAGCAGTTATTACCTTATATACCTCCGGTGCATCATGCATATTTCAAAACACTGCCTGCCACATGCAGAGCATAAGTAAATAATATCAATATCTTGTAATTTTAACAATGTAATTAGCGTCTAAAATTTAAAATACTACTTCTATTTTATATCGTGTCATTATTTGTAAACAAAATTGGATTAATATGAAGTATATTTTAAGTGATATTTGATTTTTCAAAATTGAAATTAAACGATTTTTACAATTGTCTAATTTTGAAAGTGGTGTAAGTCCATTTGCAGCCCGTAAGTATACATCATTTTAGTAAAATACGCCTAAAAGAACTTTATATAACCAAATTACATATTGATAAAACAGTAGAAACATTGCCAGACTTCATATAATTTGCCTTAATTTTTTAATTAACAGATATGTTAACCTTTAATTTTCTTGAAACAAGAGAAAATGGACTTACACCACTTTCAAAATAAACGGTCCAAGTAACTCTTTAAGAATGTCATTGGTGCGATTACAAGCGTACGATTTTCAGTATTATTTTTTCTTATCACCCACGTTATAATAAGTTTAAAAATGTCACTAGTATAATTACAGATTTACGGTTTTCAGTATTTCTTTTTTTTTATTATAGTATATACAAAACGCAACAAAATAATTTTCATTGATAGATTAATTTTTTAATCGAATAGAAACCGCTTGCATAATTAGTCGACTTTTACATACAAATAAAACATGCGTGCGTTTGTCCGTCTTCCAGAAATCCTCGCAGAAATATTTGAAGTGATAAAATTGACAAAGATTCAAAGTGTCAAGCTCGTTGAATTATGGCCGGCAGTATTTTGCATTTTTCTGCGATTCTTCTCAATCTCGCTCGTTGGCCTGTCAATTAGCGCGGTTCCGGGGCTTTTAAATTCCGTTTGAGGGTTTGTTGCACGACGCCCAACGGGGGAAAGCAATTAACAAGAAAGTGAGATTGTCTGTCGGGCTAATGTGACGCTTATGGTTTCAGTGTCAGAGTGGAAAGGCGAGACCCTCGAAATCACACGTATCTCAAGACTGGACATGGGAGTTTATTTATGCATCGCGAAGAACGAGGTGCCTCCGACAGTGAGCAAGCAGATCAAAGTCTCCGTCGACTGTGAGTAAAAGTTTTGCTTTTAGCAACCACTGAATCGATAGAGTTGTCGTTGCAGTGTAAGAGCCATGATTTTTTGACCTTTTAGTACTAATTATTATAATAATTGCAAATATTTATTTTTAACGTAAGGACGATCGTATTATTTTCTGTTATTGAGAACGGTTAGTTAGGATTTCATTTTAATACACTTTAAAAATATTAGTGTTTATTTAGATTCTAAGT